CCGGCCCCGGTGGTCCGCGCCGTGCTCGCGCCGCGCCCGCGGACTCAGGCGGTGGCGGCGAAACCGCAGTTCCTTCCCCTCTCTTTCTTTAGATAGGTAGGAAAGAACGGGCGGACTAAGGAAAAGTTGCATGCTCGAGGCCACAGTACACGTTCCTCTTAGAAACGGGAGAAAAGTCCAGGCTTCCTGTTGGAGCCTAGTACTGAACTTGTGCGGGCTGTGCTGCGCTTAGCCGAGGAGCAGTGCTGCACTTAGCCGAGGAGCAGTGCTGCACTTAGCCGAGGAGCAGTGCTGCAGGCGATGCGAAGAGGAAGCCGCAGGACGGCCTGCGGCAGACTCCGGGGGGGGGGTATGACTGTACCTTGCCTGTTAGCACTTCTGCAAGTTTTGTAGTCTGCTAGATTGCTAGTGTCTGCAGAATATCAGGAGACGGTATGGAAACATTGCCATTTCTTTGCCTAGTAACTTTTCGCCTGCCAGGGCTGCCATTGTTGGAAGTGTATCTTGTGAAAAAGGAGAGCAAACATTTATTGACTATTTATCCCTAGACGGCACTGTCCTGAGAAATTTGCATTCATTATCTCATTTCATGATTAGGAGAGCCTTAAAAGGGAGACAGTCTTTTTAGGCCCATTTTGCAGTTAGGATAACTGAGTCCTGGAGATAGTTTCTCCAAGGTTACATGGATAAGTAAATTAAACGTTGCTCCAGCTTTGGGATCTAGTTAGGCACATTCCAGAGTTGCCATTGTAAAGACAGGGATGATTTAGAAACAGTCTGAGAAACAATTTACTGAGAGGCTGTTCCAGCCTTGTGACAGAGTAGATAGCAAAAGATGGCTAGCAGTTTTTTTCCCCACCAAGATGAACCCTGAATTCCGTCTTCACAGCAAACAATGACCCAATGCTTGACAAATACCACAATTGTGAAAATACTAAAATCTTAGTGATACCACATTTATATGTTGGCTGTAAAAATAATACAATTTTTGAGATAATTTGCATCATAGAAAGGTAAAAAAAAAAAGTGATTTCACCACTCATTACAGTAAATACTGTTAGCATTTTGGAGTGCATCTTTCCAGGTTAATGTGGTTAATGTATTTCTAGAACTCTAATTTTAATACAAATGTAATTTGCATTATTTAATCAGGAACATTTTTCCTTTAGGCTGTCTTGTTTTTATAGCCTTCTGTAGAATTTAGAAAGAAGGTATCCTTAGAGTAAAGATGCTACAATCGGTAGGTCCAATCTGATTATTGTGGGTTTGATCTGGTCCCTGCCATCTGTGACTGTGGATTACCACCCATCTGCCAGGAGCCTCAGTTTATAAATAAGGGTTAATCATAATACCTACTTCAAAGAGTAGTTCACAAGGCTACATAGATAATGTGATATACTTCATATGCAATTTGATAACTAACAAGCCCTCAGTAAATGGAAATTTTTAACAATTACCATTATGTTTTTGTTGTTACAGTTTTGCAGTGTTACAAGTAATGCAGAAATAAGTTCATCATAAGTATGCCTTTTATGTCTCTGAGATATTTCTTCAGGCTAGAGTCCTAGAGGTGAGATTTCTGACTTACAAATACTTCGGTGGATTTATAATGCATAGTTGGTATCCCATCTGTGTAAGACTTTATAATAGTTTTGAAATATTATAGTATTGCCAAACTGTCTTGGTTACTTTTCTCTCGTTGCTGAGACAAAATACCTGACACCCAAAATTAAGGAAAGAAGGTTATTTAGCTCACAGTCTGTGGAGGTTTCAGTCCATACTTGGCTGGCTCCAAGGCAGAGTGGCGCACGGCAGAGGGCAACCATTCGTGGCAGCAGAAGATAGCAAAAGCAGCAAGAGCAAAAGGGAGGAGCGGTGGCAAGCAGCCTCTTTCTTTCTCTTACATATGCAAACTATCCACCCCAGGGCGGGTGTAGCACCCACACTTGTGAATCAATCATAAACTCTAGAAGCTGCCCCATGACTGCGTGAGGCTTTGGGAGGACATCCCGAACCAAACCATAACGTGAACCTAAGGTACGCATTGTGCAGTGGGCTCTTTGTATCACTGACAGCTCTAATAGAAGGTTTGCCTTCACTAGCTAAGAGTATCTAAGAATGTATAAGATGCTAAATTCGTGGTTACACACACACACATTTGGATATTTTGTGTTGACTTAGTTTTAATTTGCACTGGTTTCATTTCTACTGAAGAGTATTTTGCTACATAGTTGTTCTCTAGATTTATTTTCCCTTGTGAATTGGGCATTCCATGCTTTTTCATATTTCAAAAATTGTACCTTTAGTATTTTTCCTAGTACTATTTGTCAGATAGTCTCCTAGTACTGTCTGTCATTACTAAGTAACTGTTTCTGGTATTTTGGTAGACATTAGTCCTCCTGATACCCTTGTGAACTAGACAGTTTACCCGGGAAGATTTGAGGCTCAAAGTGGCTTCCCCAAATCTGGTGAACAGAATAGCAGAACCAGAGTTTTGAACCTCAGTGTGTCTGACTCCAAAGCTTCCCATACATTTTATGTACTCAAATTTTGTATGGTAAAGATACTAATGGAGATATAACTGTCTGCTCTTCCCACGTGTTCCAGATACTTTTCATGTTTCTAGTTCGTTTTGACATATAAAAGGGACTTCTTCAATAGGTGTGGTCAGGGCTGGCTCTGAGGAGGTGGCGTTTAAGTTGTGCAGTGAGCTTCAACAAGGACTCTGAGGAGCGTTGTTTCCCTGGAAGAAAGAAAATCACGACAGGGCACAGGCCTTCAGTGGGGTGGGCTTGTGTTGTAGTTGCTGCGACAACCGTTGTGGTTGCGTGTCTTGAACAGAGAAAAGGAGACAGGTAGGACTCGGGAAGATCAGGGCTCCACAGAAGAGCCCGTTATTAGTGGGGGTGAAGGTTTTCCAGCGTTGGAGGTGACAGGGAAGAGAACAACGCAGCGAAGGTGTGTTAGAAAGTGCGTGTGTTTGTGTGGAGTGGGAAGTAGTGGGGGAAACGCAGAAGAAGAAGGAAATAAGCTCGAAAGGGTGAATGCAGGCCTTGACCCTCAGAATAAAGGTGAGGGAGGTGACAGATTCCGTATCTCCGGCGTACCCTACTCTGTGGTGGGTGTTACATTCAGACCCAAATTTTTTTGTTGAACTGTGTAAGGCCATTGATTATTTCTACGTAAGAAGGTAATTGAGGTGAGTGTGTACAATGTTAGGAAAGTTTATGCAATGTGTTAATACATGTAAAGTAAGGAGCACAGCCATTGTTTGCCACTGCCCGGGTGAGGATATAATGTAACCTGGATAGTGCTAATGGGTCGTATGTTTGGGAGCTATTCACCAGCGTTGGCACAGTTTTACCTGTGGGAGCATAGAAAAGGGTATCAAAAATGACCTGGTGTTTTTAGTTTGGAAGGCTGGATGATGGGATTGCTGATGCCCTGATAGACCTGCACAAGGGAGGACTACCAGGGAGAAGCACATTTCTGAGAAAGGGAAAAAGCGAGGGAGAAAGGGTGACTCTGGTTCGGACCTGATGATTCCAGGTGTTGGAGGAGGACAGCTCTGCGAGGCTTGCTAGTCCGAATGCCAGTCTGGCACCAGCACAACTTCCTGACAAAGTTGTGAGCCCTTGAGAACAGATCGTTGCTCTCTTTTTCTGTTGTACTTTGAGTCATCCATTTGTGTGCCCTTCCTTACGGTGTTGTGATAGACATCCTGTTATTATCTGCAGTGTACACATGGAGAGACTGAGACACAAAGAGATGAAACTTAACACTTTTTAAGTGTTCAAACCTCCTGGATTACTCTGCTTGTAAGAACTCTTGCTGTGTTTCATCTTTAAGGAACCTGGTTCAGTCTGGTTCCAAAGGGTTTGCTCCTCGCCCCTTTCCTGTTGCTGTCTTGCACTTTATTTGCAGATGTTCAGTTTCTTCACTCAGCACTGTGTCTTCTTAACAGGGTCCCAGATCTGCCCTTCCCTGACACATGGCTCTTTGACTGCTCATTTGAGCAGGTGGTACATCCTTCTCTTGCATTGTAATTCACCCACCTTCTAGTTTCTTTTGAGTATTTATTGATCATCGGGGAACTTGATTCATACCTTTCCTGTGCATCTCATTTGTTTTGCTGTTATTTTGAAAGATTTTGGCATTGCAGGCACAGTACTGCACAGATGGGAAGATCTGTGGTTCTTGAACTACAGTTCGTGCCTGAATGTGATTCTGCTCTTGACAGCTTTGCATGGTGACACTGGCCAAGTTTATTCATCTGCTCAAGTTTTATTTTCCTCCCCTGTACTGCCTGAGAGGGTTGCTGTGAATATCCCATGAGATAATCCGTGTAGTTGCTGGTGCCTCGTACCTGAAGTGGTAGAATCAGCTTTACTGAGAAAGGGGAAGGGAGTTTAACCCACACAGAAAAGATCTTTGTAAATCCTGGACATTCGACGGACACATTTCACTGAATTCTCACAGTAGACCTGCACGTTAGATGTTATTGTCTCTGTTTTTGTAGAAGAGGACATGGAAGGTCAATAATAAAGTAACTTGCTCAGAGTCACACAGAGAAAAATGGCCTAACAGATTCTGGCCCGGGCTGGCTTACACTGGCATGCTCGCTCCTGTCCTTATACTGGGTTGCTCCCCCACATAGCACATCCTGGCCTCTCCATGTTCTGGGGTTCAAGCCCTGGGTGTATGTGTGAGCGTGTTTATTCATTCTGCACCTTCATTTTGTCCTGGATGTCAGATTCTGCTGGATGCTACGAATATGGCCCTGGCCTTTTCCTAGTGGAATTTGAAATCTAGAGAGGAGATGAGCAAAAAATCGCAAGTGATAGCAGATATGGGGGTCCTTTGATCGATGGCTAGTGGAATTTAAAAAGCAGGCCGAGAAGTATGAGAAGATAGGCAAACAGAGCGCTAATTGGAAAGTCAGAGGGATTGTGGAAGAAGCTTCAGCTTGGGAGGAAGAGCTGCAGGACAGAGACCAGCTTTTACCGGAGGAACTTGATTCATACCTTTGCTCTTCCAATGATTTCTGTTTCATTGTCTCAATTCTGGTTCTGTGAGCTGGGTCCAGAAAGTCCTTATTTTGTGAGGGGGCAGTCAGCTTCCCACTAGATTACTCTCTTGCTTGGGGGTGGGCAGCCTTACCATGCTGTGGTCTGTAGAGGCTTTGCTGAACGCTGGGCGGTGAGCGCAGGCTTAGCGCAGTCAGTGGACATGTTTCAGCAGTGTTCCAGGACGTCTGGAACAGGAAATCTGAAAGCTGGCAGTGACTGTCTCTCCAGATCTCCAGAATATCTTGCTTCTCTTAGCTTAGTGTCCTTAGTCCTGAAGAGGGTGAAATAGGAAAGGTAAATTTAGGGTTAACGAACCTTGTATTACCAGTTTATAGATAACCCTTAAATGATGCTTATGGCTCTGTCTGTGAAAGCTGACTAGGGATCTGGCCCGAAGTGGGTTTTTTTTTTGTTTGTTTGTTTGTTCCTTTGTTTTGAGACAGGTCTCACTGCATAGTGTCAGCTAAGCCTTGAACTCACGGCTCAGGCCTCAGATTCATGGCAGTCTGTCCTCTTGCCTTCCTCCTGAGTGCAGGGGACTGTGACATGTGCCATGACCCCTGGCTTGTCTCTAAGTTTTCATGTAATAAAGGAGGCAGATACGAAGTGAAGTCAGAGATGCCAGACTTTTATCCTGCTTCAGAGTGAAAAGTCAGCGCCTTTTCACAAAAGCAGTGTTTAAGTTCCTGACTACCCCGGAAGAAACCACAAATCCTGATCTTAATGAGTATCTGGTTAAGGGCCCAGGTGGTAGTGCTCTGTCTTTCTCTGGTGATCCCCAACTGTTTATACTCTGGTCTAGTTTATTCTTGGAGACACTTTGGCAGAGGCATCCTGGCTTGAATCATCCATTAATTTTTATGGTTAATAAAAGTGTTCGGCAAAGCCAGGGATTATACACGGGGTTATTTCATTGACTGAGAGACCCTGGGTTGAGGCTCAGGGAGTTCATCCGTCCGTTTCCTGATGGTGGTTTCTGGGTCGGCAAGGAAATACATAATTAAATCGATCCCAGTTGTAGTAAACGACCTGAAGGAAGTGTACTGCTATTAAGAAAGAGAATGGTAGAGACCTGGCAAGGCTACTAAGAGGATATAGCTTTGATCCAAGGTCCCGAAGTGGGGCATCCAAAGGAGTGTAAAGGGGGTGCCAGGTTCTGAGGTGGCCAGGTTCTTAGGTGGTGGAACATAAACGACTTCGGTGGTAAACTTTGGGGACAGTGGTGCAAAATGGGACTTTTGGGATCGGCAGGCGTGGGACCAAGCAGAGCCTGTGGATGTGGTGGGACATGGAGAAGGGCTTAATTCTAGCACATGCAGGGCTCTGTGTAGGGTTTTGATGAGCGGGGTAACGTGGAATGGTAGCCTTTTGGGACTCTGCTTACAGCAGATCTTTGGGGAGAGGTTTGAAGGGGAGGAGGAGCAGCGTGAGGAGGCAGCTTCCTGGAATAGGATAGACGTGAGGAGACATTAGCCACAGCAGTGCTAGAATTTGGGCTGCG